TTCGAATATTACATCTATGGCGGGTGCGGAAGATACTCTCACTACTACTGCTAGTGTTATAGGCATTGCTCTCTATATACATCCCTCGGATAGCCCTGGGACGGTGCTGGTTCCAGTTCAATTTGACGGAGAAAGATATCAATCCTGGAGGATAGGAGTTATGCAAGCTTTGTCAGAGAAAAACAAATTAGGTTTCATTGATGGGAGTTGTGGAAAACCAGATGCAATCCGTCAATGGAAGAGGTGCGATGATATGGTAACAAGATGGATATTGAATTCCATGACTAAGGAAATCTCGGACAGTGTGGGATATGTCAATGACTCTGCGGAACTTTGGAAGGTACTAGAGGATAGGTATGATCATGCTAATGGATCAAAAATATATGAAATACAGAAAGAAATTAACAATCTCACACAAGGAATCTTGGATATCACTGCCTACTACACAAGGATGAAGAAGTTAGGGGAAGAATTGAGCACTTTGAATCTGAGAAGTCAGTGCGATAGCTTGTGCATTAGTGGTGCTAAGGATATTATAAACAAAGCAGAACAGGATAGACTCTTGATCCAATTTCTCATCGGATTGAATGAAGTGTACTCCGCGGTGAGGGGCAATATCCTCGCGATGAATCCACTCCCTTCCATGGCACAGGCTTTCTCCTTACTGATCCAGGAGGAGAAACAAAATGTATGACATTTGTTAACGTAATTTGCTTAACACAGTTAACAATGGGATTCTTTGATCTTTACATTTTAATCCAAGCGGCAAAAAATGACTAGGGAATAGATCTGGATTATTGAGTTGTCCTTTATTACTCTGTTTATAGATTAATGAATTGCTCTTTTTTCAAAATATGATGCAGGATCCTGACTCTGCTTCTGAATTGAATGATGGTATGATCTTCGTTTTTTTGAATTCACTACTCATTTGATATTTGATGATTGATTTAAGTGTATCTAGGATTCTTTTTTATCTGTCATGACTGATGTTTCATTCTTTTTGAGAGGAACTTGTTTATTATGTACAGGAAAAATTGTTGATATCTATTCTGTGAAGGAACTAGAGACGAAGTTAAATGCTGCTTCAAAAGCATCACGTCTAGCTATCCTTTACTGTACTTTCAAAGAGTCTCTAAACAATGGACCATGTCGTTTAATGTCTCCATTTTATACAAGCCTGCTCCCAAAATATCCAAAAGTTGCATTTTTGAAGGTTGATATGTATGAGACAAGAGGGGTGGCTTTAAGATGGCACGCTCATGGTATTCCATCTTTCATTTTCATAAAAAAGGGCAAGGAGGTTGACAGGGTATTTTGTGATATGAATACACTGGAAAAGAAGATCATCCAATATGCAGACTAACTTGATTGTGAATCAAATGCATTTTGCTTTGGTTGAAACAAAAGGCAGAGTCTTTTTTTTCCAACTTTCTTTCAGTGGAGAAGTGTTTTCAATGTTTACTAAGTGTACACTCTGGTAAAAATTTCATCTGATGCAACAATGAAACTTCTGTTGTTTTCTGGTTCCTGAAAGTTTCTTTTGATGAATGATTATACTATAGTTTGGTACTTTGGTTAGTTGAAGCACTAGTTCGTGCCAACGAACCCTGCTCATGGCCACAAACTCGTTTTCTTGAATTTAATGGCAACAAACATGGTTAGTTGGCACAACTTTCCGTAATTGCCTTCAAATTTTTGGCCACGAATTGAACGAACAACTAATTTCTTGGGTTGTTCTTCCTTTAAATCAATTCCAATTTTACTCAATTCACTCTTTTTCATCATCTGATCATCTTTGAACTTCATGACATCTAACAAAACAAAAACAAGTTAGTTTGGACTAATAGATATATGCTCCACATTGATAATTATTTTTAAAAAATCAGGCAATTTATTTGACAGTTGAAAATATTTTAGTTTCGGTATTTCCAGTTAACTTTATTTTTATACTGTTCCGTCAAATTAACAGTTGGAGTATAATTTATTAAATACTATTCATTTTTAACAAATTAAATAGACCAAAACTGCTCATAAGTTGCACAAATATGGTGCATTAGTTTGCTAGTTCCAGAAAGTTTCTTTTGATGAATCTAAGCAGATATATATGAATAACTGATGTTAATAATCTTACTATAGTTTGGTTAGTTGAAGCACGAGTTCGTTGGCACAAATTCATGCTTCAGTTGTTGGGTTCGTGGAGTGAGGTAGAAACACATTTTCTTCAGCAATTCTGTTTTCTTCAAGTTCATGCCTACAAAACTAGTCAGTTGGAACAAACTTTCACCAGTTGCCTTCAAATTCTTGGCCACGAACAACGATTTTCTTTTCTTGTTCTTTCTTTAAATCCTATCTTTAAAACAACTCCAATCTTTCTCAATTCACTACTTTTCATCATATAGATGCATGTATGCTCCACATTTATAATTACTTTTTAAAATATAAAAAATTAGGCAATTTATTTTACAACTGAAAATATTTTAGTTGGGGGATTCTCATGCTATTAGTTAGTTAACTGATCATAGTTAATCGGTTAGGATATTTTTCCTGATTTAGCTTAGCTGAATACAAGCTTTGTATATATGTATATATATAGTATATTCCATCTCATTTTCTCAAAGCACAATTCTCCTACAGTTGGTTCCTCTTTCAATTGCCAGCTATGGCTTCGATTGAGTTCTCACCATGGCTCTGAAGTTTAGTATGGTATCAGAGTGATACAGGCAATCGAATTTTCTCGGAGCTTAGTGAAATTCAGTACGAATTACTTCTGGATCTGGTTCGATTCATAGTTTTTGATTCATTTTTGAGTAAACTCCGTAATCAATTTGAATACTACACTATGACGGGTGCGGAAGATACTCTCACTATTACTGCTAGTGATACGAGCAGTGCTCTTCATGTAGATCCCTCGGATAGCCCTGGGATGATGCTGGTTCCAGTTCACTTTGATGGATCAGGATATCGATCCTGGAGGACAGCAGTTATGCAAGCTTTGTCAGTGAAAAACAAATTAGGTTTCATTGATGGGAGTTGTGGAAAACCAGATGCAAATTCACCTCAGTTCCGTCAATGGAAGAGGTGCGATGATATGGTAACATCATGGATATTGAATTCTATGACTCAGGAAATCTCGGATAGTGTAGAATATGTTAATGACTCTGTGGAGCTTTGGAAGGTACTGGAGGATAAGTATTATGATCAGACTAATGGAGCAAAAATGTATCAAATACAGAAAGAAATTAACGATCTCACACAAGGAGCTTTGGATATCACTGTCTACTACACAAGGATGAAGAAGTTATGGGAAGAACTGAGCACCTTGAATTTGCGTAGTCAGTGCAGTAGCACGTGCTCTTGTGGTGCTAAGGATAGTATGCACAAAGCAGATCAGGATAGATGCTTGATCCAATTTCTCATGGGATTGAATGAAGCGTACTCTGCGGTGAGGGACAATATCCTCACGATGAATCCACTCCCTTCCATGGCACAGGCTTTCTCTTTACTGATTCAGGAGGAGAAAAAAAATGTATGACATTTGTTTACGCAATTTGCTACTCACTGTTAACAATGGGATTCTTTGATCTTTACATTTTAATCCATGCTTTTAAGTCAAGTGGCAAAAAATAACTAGGGAATAAATCTGGATTATTGAGTTGGCCTTTATTACTCTGTTTATAGATTAATGAGTTACTCTTTTTTCAAAATATGATGCAGGATCCTGACTCTGCTTCTGATTTGAATGATGGTATGATCTTCGTTTTTTGAATTCACTACTCATTAACAATAAGATGAATAAAAGTGTGTTTTATGCTCAAAGTAGTGTGGCTTTCATTTGAGAGGGACAAGTCTACATATTTATGCAATAAATTAGTAACTAGTTTATTGTAAACAGGAAAAATTGTTGATATCCATTCTGTGAACGAACTAGAGACGAAGTTAAATGCTGCTTCAGAAGCATCATGTCTAGCTATCCTTTACTTTACTGCAACATGGTGTGGCCCTTGTCGTTATATCTCTCCATTTTATACAAACCTACCCAGAAAGTATCCAAAAGTTGCATTTTTGAAGGCTGATGTTGATGAGGCGAGAGACGTGGCTTCAAGATGGAATGTAAGTTTCGTTCCATCTTTCTTTTTCATAAAAGATGGCAAGGAGGTTGACAAGGTTGTGAGTACTGACAAGAATTCCCTGGAAAAGAAGTTCGCCCAATATGCAGGCTAACTTGATTGTGAATCAAATGCATTTGCTTTGTAGAAACAAAAGGTGTAGTGTTTACTAAGTAACTGTTGTAAAAAATTCATCTGATGCAACTTGATTGAAGGAGACTTGTGTAGTTTCCTGGTTCCTGAAAGTTTCTTTTGATGAATCTAAGCAGATATATTTGAATAGCTCATCTTACTATAGTTTGGTTGGTTGAAGCACGAGTTCGTGGCCATGAGCAGGCTTTGTTGGCATGAACTCGTGCTTCAGCTGTTGGGTTTGTGGAGTGAGGTAGAAACTCATTTTCTTCAAGTTCGTGGCCACAAACTTTCAGCAATTGCCTTCAAGTTTTTGGCCACGAACATAATGATCAACAAATTTTATATGTTGTTCTTCCTTTAAATCAACTCCAATTTTTCTCAATTCACTCCTTTTCATCAAATGATCATCTTTGAACTTTATATGAAACCAACAAAACAAGTTAGTGCAAAAATTAGGCAAAATATATTGGACAACTGAAAATATTTTAGTTTCGACACTCTCATGCTATTTCCAGTTAATTTTATTTTTATTTTACGATTCTGTCAAATCAACAGTTGTAGTATAATTTATTAAATATTTTATAAAAATACAAAAATATTTATTAAATTTTAACAAATTAAAAAGACCAAAACTGTTCAAAAGTTGCACAAATATGGTGCGTTAGTTTCCTCACTCAAAAGATTAGGGACTGATCGCGAAAACATCAAAAGAAGTCTCTTCTTCTCTTTCTGTCTTTCACGTTCAAGTCACCCCAAACTCGTCGAATCCAATTTGTAACAGGTGATTTCTCTGTCAAAATTCTCCATTCCAGTTTTTTGTTCTTCTTAATTCTTTTGATCAACTGTTTGTATCAATTATTATTCAGTTGCATGCTGATTTTTGTAAAAATCTCTTCACTGTAGTCTTCAAAATCGCAATCTAAGTGAAAATTACTTGGCGATTTGCTATATTATCTATCGACTTGGTTCGAAGATACTGCAGAAGTTTGGTTTTGGGAGGGCTGTGTTATAGGGATGAAAATAGGATATTTATTCTTTTCTCTCCTTTGATAATTTTGAGTTCTGAGCCATTATGACTGCAGGATGGGGGAGCTGCTGGTGGGGAAGCATGTTAAGTACATTATAACAGTTGAGAAGGTACCCATTTGTTTCATGTCTACTAATTTTCCTTTGCCTCTCTGATTTGATATGTATAAATCTGAGCTTAGGTGGTTGTTCCACCCTGATCCAATTTGTCGCTCATATAGCTGTGTATTCTAACCAAACAACTAGGCTCCTTTCAAAGTGTTTAATACTTTGAACAGGTTAAATAGGGTTTTCCTGTAGGGAGATACTTGTGAAACTAGGAAAGTACATCGGGATGATTGTAAGACAGTTGTGAAGGAAACATAGAATGGTTTGTAGGCATTAGCTATTATATTCTGCTCTACTTGCTTAAGTATGATGGATCCTTCTTAAGCATCCTAGTATCATTTGTGTTAGAGTACTCCAGACTAGTATTTTAGGAACTTCCAGTGTTTGGATTGTCTCAATTGTCAAGTTCAAAATTATGGTTGTCATATTTGGAAGGATATCATATCCAGCCTTAAAGAAGTTGACCATGGAGTTGTTTGGAATGGCTCTGGATTCCCCCTTTTGGTCTGGTATAGCTTGGAACTTTCTGATATGATTGACTGTGGGATTGATCCTCAAGATTTAATCCCTCACAGTTAACGACACCCTTGATACCTGAAAACGGTGGCATTTCACCTGTAATATATTCTTGTTTTAGTGGGTATATTAAGACTAGCATTTCTGTTGTTCTGGTTTCATCTTACGTCAAACAGAAGAAATGTGACTTTGTGCAAATGCCCCGTATATTCTCCTCATATTCTCACGGTTGTGAGATGATTCCTTTGTACGTATTATTCATGGAATTTAAGTACTTGATGGAGTTCCTTTCTTTTCCGCCACCCACTAAGGCACTTCTCATGTTACTCTATCATTTGCTTTCTCTAATACGTTCCTGTATACCTTCAGAGGAAAGATGATTTTGAATCTGTGGTGATGGAGCATTTGAGATTAAATGGGGCATACTGGGGATTGACAACTCTGGATATCATGGGCAAGCTTTCTGCTGTGGAGCAAGATGAAGTTATTTCATGGGTCATGCAGTGCCAACATGAATCTGGTTTGTGTCTCGCACTTCGTTCTTGCTTTCTCACAATGATTTTTTTGTCTGTATTTCCAAATGCTGCTGCTATACTGTACCCACTGCTTTTGTAATGGATGTTGCTTTTCTCTTTTCTTTTTTCCTTGAGAGGTAGTTACTTCCATGTTTTGATCTACTTGATCTGTATGTAGGCTTACTTCTCTATTTGTATAATATGCAGGTGGATTTGGTGGTAATATTGGACATGATCCGCATGTTCTGTATACACTTAGTGCTATTCAAGTCTTGGCGTTATTTGATAAAATACATGTCTTTGACATTGATAAGGTGTCAAATTGTATCCTACTTCATGTCACATTTACAATTGTTTTTGAGGTTCTGTGTACATATCCTTTCGATCTATGTATTACATCCGTGAACTTTGCTGCAATGCTAGCATTTAGAGAGTGTGCAATGTTAACCTCACAAAACCAAAACATGTGGTTAAGTTAACATCAAGAGTACTCATCACAACAGTGATATTCTCGACATTGGCAATTGGAAGTACTATTAAGAAATTTGGGTGTGACGAAGTGGTGGACTTAACATTTCAGCTAGATATTGCAGGTCTGCAAAATGAAGATGGATCATTTTCTGGTGATATATGGGGTGAAGTTGATACACGGTAGCTGCTTCTTACTTTGTTTGCTATTATAAATTTCGGATCCTTTATTTGGTTTCTCGTTTTAAAATTTACTTATAATGCCAAGGATTAAGCCATATATCTTTTTTCGTCAAAAAAGAAAAGGTAATATACATGTGTTTTTCTTTTGGAACGTAATATCCTTCTTTTGGGAATTGAAAATATGATGACCTAAATATACTGTGTAGGTTCTCTTACATTGCGATCCTTTCACTCGCATTGCTGCACCGGTTAGATAAGGTTGATGTTGGAAAAGCAGTGAAATATATCTTAAGTTGCAAGAATGTAGATGGTGGATTTGGATGCACACCGGGAGCAGAATCTCATGCGGGGCAAAGTATGTCACATATAAAAAACATGCATTTTATCATACTACTAATGGCTTCTAACTGAATGACAAATGAGAGCGTTGATATACTTAGCGTTGGCCCTTTGTTGGTTTTCAACCTGTTTGTTCCACTTAGCATCCATATTTCCAGCAGTCTTCTTCTTATTTGAGTTGTGTATTGCTGCGTTACTGAAAGCAATTTCGACTATGCTACCATTGCAGTTTTCTGTTGCGTGGCAGCTCTCGCAATTACAGGGTCTCTACATCATGTTGATAAGGACCTCCTTGGTTGGTGGTTATGTGAAAGACAAGTCAAATCTGGGGGTCTAAATGGGCGCCCAGAGAAGCTTCCTGATGTTTGTTACTCTTGCTACATTGAATTTTTTATTGACAGGTCAGTTTTGAGTTTTACTGAGGGTCATGTTGTTGCTTCTCAGGTCTGCTACTCTTGGTGGGTTCTCTCCAGCTTAATTATGATTGACAGGGTTCATTGGATTGACAAGGGAAAGCTTGTAAAATTTATTTTGGACTGTCAGGTTACATTCGAATATAACAACTCCCTTCACTTGAAGCTTGGCATTGAATACTAAATCTTTGTGTAGTTGTCCAACATTTTTGTAAAGCCTGAGTTATATTCCTTTCACAATGTAGGACAAGGAGAATGGTGGAATTTCAGATAGGCCAGATGATGCAGTTGATGTCTTCCATACTTACTTTGGAGTCGCTGGTAAGGGACATATGACATTTTTGTATTGTGAAATAGCGAATGTGTATTTTTCTTACGATGATATGACTGTCCATATTGCTGTTGAAAAGGATCTATCATCTGAATTGTGTTGTCTCCATTGGTGTAGCTATCAAATATGATCTCTCTTAGCCTTTTTAATATGCTGTGTGTTGAAGTGATTAAACTATATCAAGTATGAAACTAGAAGCAAATTTTGAAGGATATTCCTGGAAACATTTTCTAAGCTCTACTGCAGTTGTTTTTCTATTGTTGATGACAATTTAGATTGACCTTTAACGACCCAAGTGTTTAAACTTATTCCTTTGATTTTCTTCTGCAACCCAGGACTTTCACTTCTTGAATATCCAGGAATAAAGCCGATAGATCCTGCTTATGCCTTGCCTGTTGATGTTGTAAACCGAGTTATGCTTGGCAGATAATCGTTGGGTTTTTGCTCCATTCTAGCTCATAATAGCATTCTCTTGATATGAGATTAGCAGAAACAGTTTCCCTTGATGAAAGGCGGTTTGCGTTACCAATGCTGCAACATTTTCATCATAATGGCTCTTTCAGGAAGAAACAAACCTAAAGTGGATCCAGGATTTTAACTTGATGGGTTCAGCCTCTGTAGTTTTCAGCACTTAACTCATTATAATTCTTAAGTTACAGGTTCAGATTTGATATCTGTTGCTATTTTAGTGATTTTTCGTTTATATAATTATACTCTTATCGAAAATACTGGCATCATATGAATCCGTACCCTGAAAACTACATCTTGTAGCAAGCAGCAACGATGTGATAGTTGTACCAACTTCTACAATGTTAAACTAAACAAGGAAGTTGTTTGGTTTGAATTCAAGTTCTGACGGGATTAGTTATGATGGAATTTGTTATGATGGGATAAGTTATGTTTTTAATTGAGTGTTTGGTTTGTTGTATTCAAAATAATAGGCTTTGCACAAATTTTAAGGACAATTTATTTTTACAAAAGTACCCTTCATGAATGTGAAAAGTGATGTATAAAAAAGGTTTAAAAGGATATTTTTGTCATTTACTTGTTTTATCCCGGGATAAGTTATACTGGACATGTCAACCAAACAGTAAATTAAGTGGCACTATAATTTAATCCCTGGACTATTTTATGTAATCTTTCACACCAAACGACCTCTTTGTGCATTATATTTAGTGGAACAATTTTCTTTTCGTGTTTCTGGCATGGTCTTATTTATCTTGAAATTGCAGTTATCTTAAAGGAAACTTAATGTTTGCACTACATTTATGAATGCAATATACATGTCTTTAATATAAGCTTTTATTTCCTAATCATAACTACGTGTTATGTATTCTTATTATAATTTGTGACCATTAGTGTTAAATTTCCAAGTTTAATTAAATACATTAATAAGTAAAAAAATTTTGCCTAAATTTTAGTAATTTAATGTAGGGACTTGGTCACCACCAGTAATAACGAAAATTATGGAATGTTCTAGACACACACACGGATAGCACAAAGAATAGATTCAAAAATGATTATGTTTTTTGTAACTGCCTGAAAATACGGTTTGAAATGAAAATAGCAGTTACCTTACATTTTAACATTCCTCCTATATATATGCACATTTCCAATAACCTCATCATATCAATCATCACATATCACATATATTGATATTCCAAGAGAATTAACCCATGGCAGCATATCCCAAATCATGTGTTGTTGTGATTTTGACATGTTTTTTGATGGGTTTTTCTCATGGAATTCATCTGGATAAAAATACGATCGTTGCGTTTTTAGCTAGTGGTGTTGGTAGTGGTAGTGTTTCTGCGATGCCATGCGTGCAAAAACTAATGCCATGTCAACCAGCATTGGCAGCACATATGAAAAATCCTCCAGCAACATGCTGTATGCCATTGAAAGAAATGATATCAAATGATGCACAATGCCTTTGCACTGTATTTGGTAATTCTGATGTCATGAAAAGTATGAATGTAACTCAAGATGAAGCTTTAAACTTTGCAAAAGCTTGTGGTGCTAAACCTGATCTTTCCCTTTGCAAAAAAGGTACCCTCTTATTCTATGAATTCAATTGAATCCATTACATCTAATTCAAACTATGTACACATATGCTTAGAAAAGGTATGATCTCATCGGACTTGCTTAATGCGATTTATATCTAGTGTATGAGTAGGCTTACTCTCGACATTCAAAAGACATGCAGATTTCTCTTAAGGTCAAAAAGAAAGGGAAAAGGTGGAAAAAATAATTAGTTTTTATCTTAATTTTTCTTAAATGACCAATTATTTTTAGTCAGGGTCATGACAACTAATTAAATGGACCGAGGGAATATTACAATAGATTTTTAGCAATTTAAGATAATGTGGATAAAAGATCCATTTTTAAAAAAAAATCAAATAGATTTTGTTGCTAATATATGCCTGTGAGATAATATATCTTATAGATTTGAAATTTTCAAAAAGCTTATCAGTAAATATTCTTTGAGCATGTGATAATTAGTCTAATAATTAATTTTCTTGTAACTAACCTGAGTATTTCTTTTTATGTGCATAAATATAGCCCATGGTGAAGCTTCAGCTCCATCTCCCGCTACTTCTTCAGATACTAACGGTAAATATCTTAACAACTTATGACATTTCAATTAATTATATCACGCTTCGTATGATTAATAATTTTATTATTTTATCTCTATTCATTCCATTTAGACATTGCTCTGACACTTCTACATTTGTATGTATATATTAGTGTAAACTTTAAGGTCATTTAATCAGGTGTATTGTTAACCTAACACATTAATAGTTTCAACATTTTTATTCAATCAGCTAAGTCACACGGACTCTTATTATATATCTGACAAATATAATATCGTTTTATTTTTCAGATTCGAGTTCCACTAACAACACTGCAAGTCCACCAGCAGCAAACACAGCTAGTGTGACATCCAAATTTGGAGGATTTGTTGCTGTTGCATCTCTTATGAGTTTAGTGATATAATGTTGTTAGCATTTTAAGGATTAATCATTAATTTGCTTATTAGGAAAAGACAATGTCTCGATTATTTCACTTTTTTTAGTTTACATCACCAAAATATTTTTTTCTCTAATTATTAATGATGAGATGTGTGATGTTTAGTACTAATTGTGTTTTGATTTGTTCTTATTATAATTTGTTAACAACACGTTATTCTATATGAATTATTATTTCTCTTCAGTATTGATCTTATCATTAAGGAGTAACCACTTATTTTTAAATCAACATGACGATATTTTATTGGTCAGGACGCGTCATTTGTATTTCGCCATCTAGGTTGTTTCGCCTAGCTGCACGACGCTTGTATTGTTCTCCCACAACTCCGTTTTCACGGTTTTACATATGACATATTTTTATTGGCTTTTGATTGAGATAGGAATGTCGTGTTATTTTGACACATGACATGATCCTATTGGCTTCTTGTGTGACTTGGTATGTCACGTCGTTTAATATGTGGCACTAAATTGGGCCTATGGGATAGAAGGACATTGAGCTTAGCAAAATGGACTCATCTATTGTAACCCAAATTAATGAATTTAAACTTTAATCAAACTTATATTATTCGGACTTAAATAATTAACTCAATTCTATTAAAGGAAAAACTACATGATATGACAAACTTTGCTACATATTTAAGGCATATAGCTATAGTATATTTTATTTTATTTATTTATTATGAATTTATTTAAATATCAAATAGCAAATATGCTACTACACTCTAGTATTTATATTTTCTCGCTGAGTCATTGCCCATTGATAGTATCCATGTATTTTTTTTTTGTATATATTTAGTTAAATCAATGTGTTCATTTGTATTGCTCATTGGTTAATATCCATATCTTTTTAAAAAAATATATTTAGTTAATATTCATTATTTTTGTATGTATATATATTAAACCATGTATTCATTTGTATGTTAGTTAACTGTATTTATTTGTTTTATTTAGTATTTATATTTCTAACTTAGTATTTATGTTTTAGTTTAGCCATTATCATCAAATATCAAAAATATAAGTTTGTTTGTTTATAATGGAAAATATTTCTTAATTGGCTCATAAAATTGGACATTAGTTCATACAAATGTTTACATGTTTTATTCGTAATGACTTTTATACCTGAATATTTATTTATTAAATTAACAAAAAAAATAAAAGCACTCACTAAGCAAACAAAAACTCTTTAATAGATAATTATGTATTGTTAATTTAATAATTAGAAGTTAGAGAGCTTGATAGCGTAATTAAAGGACAGCCAATTACAATAGCGGAAATATATTAAAAAAAAACCTACCCATATTTTAGATACGCCTATATTCTCACATAAACTATAGTCATTAAATATCATACTTATAACTATTCCAATTTGATAACTTTAAAATTATTGTCATTTTTGTAAATTATTCTTAAATTAATCTACAATATTTATTTGAACTAATATATCTTGAATTTAATATAATTTGAATTATTTTATAAATTTTAAATAATTACAATTATATTTTCATATTATTCGACTAGAACTTACAAGCCTCTGCGTAATCATATTCGTTCAGTCTCCTATTTATTTAACGATATATACGAAGAAAAATAGGAAAAGTCAATATGTTGTAAAGATATTGTTAATAATTTATATGAATGGTGATATTGTAGAAAAAGTCAACAAATTAAACTATATTGCTATTATCATCAAGTAATACAACATAGCGTGGTGGATGAAGTTATTGTTTTTTAATTAAAAATTCAGGGATCAAGTTTTAGGTATAAAAAAATTCTTGATACAAAGCGCCCCTTAAAATGAGGCACTCACTATACGGTGTGAATTCAAAATAGTCAGATTCAAAGGCGGTATGAGATTTGTAAAGAAGAGACGTGAATAGTAATATCTCACTTGTTGACGGCTTATTTTAACTCGCCTACATTTAGTTCATAAAAAATGAGACATGTAGGAATTTTTTATGTATGATTTTTTTCGTATGATTTCTTTTTAATGTATATTTACAAAATAAGAACCATTATCATAAAAAATAACATGAATCATAAATCAAATCTCATATATATATATAAATTTGTATAATTAGGTTATTGGAATAATACATGTAACTCTCGTGTATAAATATATATTTATCGTATGTATATCGTGATAATGATAAAGTACTACAAATTGTAATTTTTTTCTATGTTTGGTAAAATAAGAAAATAAAATATAATATATATAGATAAATATTGTTTTATTTAGTTATGAATATAAAATAAAAATCCTAGTAAATAAATAATTGACGTTGCATATTTTTATTTTTAACTTATTTAAATTTGATTCAACTTGTGTAATTAACCAAACAAAAAATGAAACGTGCTAAATAATTTTGTGGTTTCTTGCACTCTATCTACACAACCAACAAAAGGTGGGTGAAGTGGGTCATTTATCTACTTTAAAGCTAGAATGCTAGCTACCACTAACAAGAGAGAGAAAATATATTTACACAATAAATTGAGTTGAACAAATACAAAAAAATGCAAGAGAAATTATACGTGCGTTAGTTGCTTTTCTTTTTTAATTATTAATATTATATTAATTTTGAGATTACATTGGATATGTTATTATTGTTGTAGTTGTGTGCTAGTTTGAAGATTTTTTTTATAAACCTATAACAAAAATAACAAAAAGTAAAATAAATTTTATAATTAATATCAATCCCATCAGAAATAATACATTTCACTAAATATATAATAATAAAATAAAAAATGCTTGTGGATCCACAATATATACTTGTTGAAAAATTAAATTTTGAATTTTCTTCCTAATATTTTTATAAAATCAAA